CTGGGCAAACTTTCTTTTTTTTCTCCTATTCTGATCACCTTCATCTCTGCAGTCCGGAGTTCGATTCCAATTCAAATAGTTTAACACATAGTGCTCTATTCGGTTAAAAAGTGCTTTTATGTCGATATTGGTGAAATTTTTCCAAATACTTTTATTTCGAGAAAGAAGGCCGAAAGTTACATAGTTGATGAAAGAATATACCGTCAAAATAGAATTTCAGTACAGTGATAGAGTATAACTCCATAGCATGAAAAATTTTGTTTGAGTAAAAACACACAGAGTGACAAAGTGTTAATCACTGTATAGTATTCAGAGCACAATTTATTGCCCATAATCCCATCAGTGTTCTCATATAGCTTTCAAACTTTAATTGTATAGCCCCATTACTTTTCACCCATTTTGGTTTTATTGGTAATAATATTTTTCCATAACTCTGGTGTCAGTCTAGCATCATTTGGAGTGCACATGTTGGGCGTAGATTCGACGGGAAAGGATTTATTGATCAACCTCTCACTCCCGCTAACCACATTAATTTTCAGAACCGTAGCTGTATCAAAATCTATTATGCAGCTGTAAGTGGATGAACTGCAATTGCTGAGTATTTCCCTAAGTTGGCCATTTAGCTAAATTGTTATGTTTCCATAACCTAACTAGTTCCGATCTACTGCTCTGATATATGTAGTTGACCACAACGCTGTTGCAAGGCATCTTGTAGATAACATTATTCTACCCAAATGGATCAACAGGGTCCCTTATCCTAAAGAGTTTGTCCCTGAGTGAGTTTGTAGATTTAAACGCCAAATACATACATCAATCCAGCGAATTGGATCATTTAGGTTCTCAGAATATAACAATTACGTTAAGTGTCGAATGACTGGCTTCTAAAAAGACGACCAACTCAGAAAAATATTCAGTAATTGTAATGCATGCAATTACGTACAATCACACAATCGGGTTGAAAAGAGCTGCAGTCCTAAAAAGTTAGGCGAGGGAAGCGACAGATTGTTAAATGCTTGTTCATTTAATCCACACCTGACATCCACAACAGGGATGATACATCACAGATGCCAGATATACGGAAAATATTACCGCCAATAAAAGCAATGGGTGAAAAATAATGAAGCTATATAATTAAAGTTTGAAAGTTATGTGAGAACATTCATATGATTATGAGCAATAAATTGTGCTCTCAATGTTATCCAGTTATTAACACTATATCAGTGTATGCAGTGAAATAAAATTATTTCCTCATGAGAGATAATACTAACTGGAAAGTGACCAATGATTCAATAAATACGACAAATGATCAGTGAATGTGTGAAGGATAAACTGCGCACTGGGCAACCTCAGTGTGTTTATAAATTCACTTGCCCCTGTGGCCACACAAAGAGAACACTTTCCAAATACACCTCTGAACATTATCCAGCATAGTTAGCAAAAGGACAATGCAAGACAGTTACTAGTTCAATTCTCGAGCACTAGGTAAACTCAAATCACGCAGCTCTACCAGAGTCGTCTTTCAGGATCACCTACAAGTTGAGGCCAAATGATACAGAGGGCGTTAAGTTTCAACATTTGGAGTATGGCGGAGGCGTTGGCGATTGGCCAATACTACCCCTAACTCTGTATACAGAAAAGGTTTGCCAGTCTTCTATTGTGCCGTGATCTTAATCACTTCATAAGTCGTTCCCGGTATTTCTTTTAGTCATTACTTTGCTTTTAATTTAATAATTAATTCACTATTATCACTATCAGATGTTCTTTCTGTATGTCTTCTCACCATCTTCACATTTTTTTAAGTGGACACTCAACTACCTTTCGTCTCGCTCAATAATAATTTTAACCTTATCATATTTCTAACGCTTTCTTCCTTTGTGTCGCTGATTACTGCATAGTTCGCCACTACTATTTTTACTTTTGAAGCCACTTCTGAGTAATTATATCAATTATGTCACACGTCCCCGAACTACTCAATAATGGACTACTATATATTTCTTTTGGTAAATATAAAGACAACTGTATAGCCTCTGAAGATAATTTCGTCGATCGAGAAAATTTTCCTCGCTGAATTCGTCTTTTACTTTCTTAATGACTCAGTGTGTATGATTAGGAATATGTTGTCCGTGAATGAAATTGTGGATGCAGCTCTTTGAAATAGCTCAGGTCTTCTCCTCCCGAAAACTTTTGGTGCGCTTCCCCTCCCAACTTTGTTTGCATGAAATAAGAGACTTAGAACTTTGCACTGTAAGTGCAACGGTTCAAACTGCCACACTCCACTGATTTTCAGTGTGAAACAGGGAAAATAATTAGTTGGGAAATGAAATTTGATATAACAGCCAACAGAAACTGGTGCCAAAGTCTTCAGCTATCATATATGCCACCAACTGAGTGTTCTTATGTATCGCGTTACTTTTCGCAAGTAAAAAACTAACAAAATCTTCCCTTTTGACTAAATGTGCGTTTTATACATTTCTATTACTTACAAATTAAATAAAATATCCTCTCCCTACATCACTCTACTAATGACAATTTATCAGTAGTCTATATTTATCGATAAAATTAACTTTCTATAGTTTGGTTTGTAAGGATTAGTTATGTTTTACGAGTTGATCACGGATTGATATCAGTTAGAGAACCATTGAAAACCAGGGAGTACTGGACGCGCTAAATCACGAATTGGTAGAAGTTAGAATTTACGAGCCATTGAATCGGGTCCCAGTGGCTGAATGGTATACGAGCTTGCCTTGTAACCGGAAGGTCCTGGGTTCGAAACCCAGTGGGTGCGTACTGCCGATGATTCCCAAACTAGGATGAAACAGCAGCTGTCCAGTACTCCCTGGTTTTCAATGGTTCTCTAACTGATATCAATCCGTGATCAACTGATAAATTTAACCTTAAATTATAACAGCATTACTGATTCAGGAGTGGAGAGTGGCTCACTGGCTCAGGCACTCAGCATTTAGTCAGTATGTTCCGAAGTCAAATACCACTCCCCTTACTTCGACTTGATTAGCATCACCAGCTTTCACACAACAAGTGTGGCTCATAACCTGGGTCGTGAAAGACCTCTCCAGTGAACTGAGTACCGATTATCGTCTCCTTTGTAGTACATACCATGTTGAATTAAATCCAATAGATCCACGGTTCGAACCCGCCCCAAATACCTTGGCCTGGTCTGAATAACTGAGTAGTACCATCAGATATTACAAAATGGGTAAATCTCGTACCCTAATATATGGGATATCCGTTCTGAGTAACTGATTCCCAACCAGCTAGCAAAATCCATAACCTATAAATACAAAAAATGAGATTCCGGTTTCCAAAAACAGCTAACAACCCATCCGACTCATCTTACCATAGTGGACAACAGCTTAGAAATATTTCTGATGCAAGACAACCACCTGTCGTCTTTCTGTGTTTCAGGGAAGACAGATACTGCTAGACTTTTGTAGTAATTCCATGAGTTCCAGCAAATGCAGTGGCATCCTTTTAAACCATGGAAACTACCACACATATCTGAAATCGAAATCACGTTCTCTGAATTTATTTAATATTTGCCTCGTACACCTAATCCCAACAAAACATTACTTGGACATCTCGTCTCTAATTCTGATGACATATTCACAAATATCAATTTCACCATCCATAAGAGCTTGATAACATTAAAAAGCTTAGAGCATTTGAGTTTAAGTTGGTTTTAGTTTTCAGTCTTCGGTGAAACATAACCATGACTGTCTATCTATCATCAACATATTCTTATGACGTCATATAGACTCTTCAGATTTAGTTAACTTTAACGCATACTGAATAAGTCAAAAGATCATATCAGGATAAATACCAAAGATATTAAGTACAAACTTAATTTTCCATCATCTGGGTGTAACCACTTTCGTATATACGCCAATAAACAAGATAGAGGCGTACTCAAACGACTCAAGAACACCGTTCAAGTGAAGAGCTCTCAAAATATAGAACTTAATACCTACTCATTTAGACAATGACTAGTAAAAATACAAGTTTCTAAAGTACTCGATGTAAAGACGCGATCCTATAACAGTGAATAGATAGTCTATAAAATTAACATATATATATATATATTGTGTAAAGATTGGTTATGCTACTCAGATGCTAATAAATTCATAGACTCGGTTCCTAACTCTCTGCCACCTCAAGCACTAAAGGCTCTAAGCAATTCTCTCTCTATGAAGCCTATGAAGTATAAATATTCTGGAACTAAACACTTAAAAAAACTGTTAAATATGTCACTTTTATACCATTTATCTTTCTTCCACCTTTTGTAGATCTTGTACTCAATTTATCAACCTTTCATTGCAGTGCATTTACTTATTTGAATATTTGTCTCTTAATATCCACTTTCTGTGTGAGATGAAGTATGATAAACACGAAACATAACAGTATTATCCAGGGAATTTTCGGATAACGTGATCAACCAAGGTGACAGTGACTCGGTATCAATACCTCTAAGTCCTCATAATCTCTTCGCAGTTTAAAGGATTTTCATCATGAGCTGATATTAGTTAGAGAACCATTGGAAAACCTGGGAGTACTGGACAGTCAGTCGTGCTAGTTTGGGACTCTTCAGCAGTAAGCACACGCCGGGATTCGAACCCAGGACCCTCTGGTTACAAGGCGAGCTCATAGACCATTAAGCCACTGGGAACCCGATCCAATTGACCAGCCCATGAATTCTAACTTCTGCCAATTCATGACATAGCGAGACCCTAGCCAATGTCTTCGGCGAGTATTTGTCCTCACACCCGACCTGCTGCACCCTACTGGTCACGACTTCGTAGTTTATTGATTGATGAAGAATCCCAACAATGTTTACAGTGTGTACCTTAAGTTTAATGTTGCCTATTTTTTATATATACATTGCATTTCGAATGGCAATCAAACAATGAAAATGGAGCTTAGGCATAAAACAAACCACACTTTTTACGAGCGAAAAAAAAAGAGAAAGCAAGAAAGAACAAAGGAAATCAGTGAAAACATATAATAATTATAACCGGAAATGCAGTCTTTTTTAACAAAATAAACAAGTGTACAAAAGACAACCATTGTGCTACAAATTTACTGTGCAACAGATACTGATGATGACGATGATGATATAACTGTGGTTACTGAGGCAACTGTGGAAGATGGTACTCCTAAAGACGCCGATAAATTCATATCAACTGCTTTTGGAACAACAACTGGTGCAAGAACAGAAGAAGTAGCACCTGCTGGAGCAGTATAGTAGTAGGCTGCATATGGATCTGTTGCACCTGCAGTTGATGTATCCGGCTAGCGAAAAAATGAAAAAAACAAAATATAACTTTTTTTAAAAAGATTAATAAACACGTTGCATACACTTTATGTAACAGAAATTATTCAAAATTTAGCAGGAAAGTCAATGATATTAAAATTTATCAAGACTCTAACACAATATAAATTGTATAACATACTCCAATAAAAATGGTATAGAAAGAATTTTCTATGAAGAAATGAATCATTTTCTTTTATAACTCACCATGCGAGGAAGAATTGCAACTGACGGTGTCATAACAGGTATACCAGTAGGAATTGCAGGTGGCAGTCCAGATGTATTACCAAGAGCAGCAGCAAGTGGTTCATAAGCTCCAGCTGTATAATAACCAGCAGCTGTAGATGGATCAGGTGCTGGTGTACCAACTGAAGCAGCTGCTTCCAATGCAGCCTGATCAGTATTCAAACATGGTGTACGACTAACAGGAGTAGCAGAAACCAACATTTCACATGGATTGGCACCAATCACAGCATTTACTCTAAGAGAAGTTGTTGGCAAATTGAGAAGATCTGGCAATTGATAACCAGGCATTAGACGACTAGATCCACGAGCAACAGCTGAAGCAGTAACACCAGTATTGACAGCTTCACAAAGAGTTATATATTCCTCATACGTAGCATTAAGCCTAAAAATCATTATAAACATACGCATTAACATAACAGACTGTATATTCAGTTATTTTTAAATCAACGATTAGAACATTTTATTTTTCTCCATTTACCTTTGTAATGCGCCGCTCAGAGTATTTGCTAGGTTGATTAAACATTCAAGTAAGTTCGCCTTTAGTTATATAGGGTCAGAATATCTACATTCTAAGCGACAGCATTTTATGGACACAAGCATACAAGCTTCTCTATCCTCTTCCTTATAATTTACATTCCGCTTAGTCTATTCTCTGGCTCAAAAGTAAATTTGATCCCATGCACTACAGAGTTTACATGTAGGAAGGAACTTGGAATATATTTTTGGTTACAGCCCAGTGGTGAAAGTGTGATGCACATCTCTCCAAAGTTGCTTCGAGTGTTTGAAGCGTAATAACATGCCATTCAAATATTCAAAAACATACTGACCAAAACTTGGCATAATAGTGATCCCATTGTTACCTCTCCTAAACGAATGACTTATCAATATAAAACTTGCACAGAAGTGCAAAATTCCAAGTTGCTCAAATTCAAAAAGTCATATGTAAGAGTGGATGGAGGAAATGTAATGAAGCAACAATGAACGAAGATTTACAAGACAATTATGAGCCACCTTCATTTTAATTGACATTGTTATCATTGTCGTTATTCCCTTGGATTTCAACAGGAATACAAGGCTTCAAAAGCAAATCTCCATTTCACCCTGTTCTACGCAGTCTTTTATAGCTGGCACAACCATTGAGCATAAGCCTTCATCTTATGCGATCTCCTCCATGTCAACCCAGGGCACCCAACTCGAGAGCCTGGCACGTGATGCCACGCGACGGTCTCCTAAGAGTATGTTCAATCGACCTTCATTTTTATCAGCATATTTGTTGGGCAATAGGTTCTTGATTGCTTAGTAGCCAGAGTTACTTATTGCTAATCCTTTCTGGACATTTAAACTCCAGTATCCAGCTAGAGAAGGCAGTCGCAACCTGTTCAAAATGTTTTTGGCGAAACGCCAAGTCCTTGAACTATATAGAAACACTGACTGATTTGACATTGCCCGACCGATAGCTGCTACCTTGACGTGGTGTTCGGGCTTGCACATCGCGACGACACAACAAGCTACACTGGCTGGAACATATGTTCCTGCAGGTCCTACCATGCCAAGAAGGTTATTAGGATAGCGATTGGACTAAAAGCAGTTACCAACATTGTGTAAGAATCTTTCTTACACTATGCTGGGGGTCTGAGAGCGAAGTCGTACTGCTGGGGAACAGGGGTGTAACAGCAGTGAGATGACCAGCATGCCAGCTATGCTGTCTCTCCCTCCGGAGAGAAGGGGTTAGAAAAGGTCAACCCCAAAAATTGTACATCCCGACTTACCCTACGGTGGTTCGTAACCGGCGGTAAGTTTACTAATACGGAACCAATCCCAGAAACTAGTTCATAGAGGCCGTGTGTGACCAGCCTCAAACAGTTGTCTCCTGGGCTCTGCGGTCACACACCACTAACTTTCTTTCTCTTTCAGGTACCCGAAGAATCAATCAACTTCCACGGTGTGGGCAGCCGGGAAGAAACAACCGCCCACACACTTCCAAAAGCACACAACATTAACGTTAAAAATCCCAATACTGTCCTTTGTACTGTGAGTAGATTTGCACACTGATTTCAGATTAATGAGGGTCCGTGCATTCTTTACCGATCTTCGTTCTGACATCGCCATTCGTACCACCTTTGACCTTTTTACTACACTCTAGAGTAGGTTGAAGTAGATAGAGTACAGACTCAAGTTGTAGCCGAAAATGATCTTCTTCTAACACCAAAGTTGCACCACTAATTTATCCTTCGTAGACAGGTTACTAGTATACGTTTTCTCCTAGAGAACTTTTCCAAAATACCACGAATGACCATCATGATTATCCTCAAACATAATGTACGTGAATCTAATAGTCTAAAACCAGCTTAAACGCCTAATACAACAAAAAACTTGTAACAGATTAATAACATTTTTTAGAAAATAAAACCATAAAACGTGTTTTTTTAAACGAAAATACAACTTACCTAGATAAATCTGTATCGAATTCTTCTAAAAACTGTAATTTCCGTTGACAGAAAGCTAATTTAATATGTGCTGGTAAAATTGAATCAATTGTAGCCAGGTTACAGGCTTCAATAAAACCATCAATATCGGCTGGTCGACGCTGATATATAATATCGAGTAATTGAGTGTATAATCGCTCATTACGCTATCATAACAAAAACAAAACAAAAAAATCAAATCAACACTGAATTTAACAATGAATGAAATGAAATGTTGTTCAACAACCACTCGCAATTCTATGTAGTTGGCAGTAAGGCCTAGTTGACACTATGTGGCTGCCTACACCTTGTAGGTGGAGCGGGATTCCAACACCGTGACCCATATGTAGGAAGTTTGGTGTCTAGACTAATGAGCTGCAGTCGCACACAGTAAAAAGAGGTTATTATCAAACATTCTTAATGCAGACAAGGTTCACATTTTAAATTAAACATGGTACTATACTACTATTATACTTTCGTATATAGTAGTAGTAATAATATTCACAATTCTGATTTCCTGATCTTGTTACAGATTATGACAATTTGAATAGATAAGCTCTTTCGTGATGAATTCTGTTTACTTGCATTTATTTACAACACAAATTTAGAAATAGTTAACACGAATAAAAGTAAGGCTACTATTGCATGGACACTACCACAACATAAACACGTTAATCAACTAAAAATGTATTTTATGGACACATTATCGTTTCGTATGGACAACCCTAATTGGCAGGAACTACCTAAACACAAAATCCAGCTTTTAATACTGAATCAAAGAGTATTATATTAAACTTATCACGCATTTAAACAACTTCACAACATAGCAAAAATAGCCGAAAGTCATATAGCTCTCCACTACTCAATAGCCCAATGATAGGTGCCACAAAAACTTAGTGGGATGGTTTGTACATCACAACGTCCCAATAACCTTTGCTAGTTGGAACAACTGTTCTCATAGACCGTACTATTCCGGATGAGAAGTACTTGCCATCATAGTTTAAGTTGCTTACACTATCATGAGGATTTGATGGTGAAGTCATACTACTGACGGAGGACTGTGACAGCACTATGGTATTTCCTTCGGGCAAGCAACAAACTAACTGTATTGCCATACAGTCAAATGAAGGCATTATAAAAACAGCTCCAAAAATTGCACGTTCTGACTCATCTTATATCAGTCTAAAGACGGCTATAAGATACTCAGTACACATGAAACTTCACAGACTTCACCTCAAATAAGTTACACATGACCGAACTTATATGGTTATCTCATGGGCTGCTCTTCACTCACACAAAAATACACCCTGTTTTTTAGGTATTCAGAAAAGTGACTAACATCCACAGTATGAGTGTCTTGGAATTACCTCCGGCCTAACGCCTCCAAAGTCATGTTTTTCTTAAATTCTTAAAGCTATTTAATAGTGATGAATGATGCATAAAATCAAATATCACTAGGAGTAGAAAGGTAAATAAGTTTATCAGGAAATTCTATTCACACAAGCCGAAAAATCGCTTGACGATAGAATATTTCACAGATCTTCAGATTAGAGCACGTATTTACGGACAATTACATTCTTAGACCGGTGTCTTAAAGAAAATTATTTTTTCAGATTACTTAAACATAACTACAGAAACAATGTCTATCATAACTGATAATACAACTTACTGGATCATACTCAATGGCCTCTTTAAGAACTCTGATGGCTGCTTCTTCACCAGAGATAACTACAAGATCCTCATCTGTAAGTTCTGATGGTAAAGGAGCACGAATTTCAATTACTTTGTGTCGCTTGTTCAGGAGGGCACGTATACGTTCTTCTTCTTCAGCTGCTTGATCAACCTCGGGAGATGCTTTGGATTCATCTTCAGATCCATTTTCTGCATTAACTTCACCTTCTCCATCACCATTGGCATCTCTGGAAGCCTTATCCTCTAATTTTGCTCGCTTACTAGAACTATGTTTTCTTTTTGATTTCTTGCCTTCTCTGTGTTTACGCTTATGATGTTTCTTTTTCTCTTGTGAACAAGGTACAACTAAGATTGGTGGAGAACCAGATTCGTCCAACTCATCCTCATTCGTGTGGTCATTTTTATTAGTTGTGTTATTTTCCGCAGGCTTTTGTGAGGCCTCTTCATCTGTTTCCTCATCCATCGTTACATCGTTATCTGATGATGCAGCTTCAATTTCAGAATCAGTCTCGTGATCACTGCCCACAGCTTCCATCTCTGTGGTTTCATCTACACCATCCTCCCCCTTTCCACCATCATCATCATCATCATCATCATCATCATCACCATCCATTTTAACAACTTCTGGGGAATTCTCCTCTTTACTCGGCTTATCTGTGCCATTAGTAGTACTTTCTGGTTCTTCTTGTTTTTCATTATTCTTTGTTTCTTCGATCTTTGGCAAATCCATCAGCGAAGGTTCATCTTCATCTTCTTCATACTTTGTACCGAGTAACAGCATCCATACAGGTATTCCCTCGGAGCACAATAGTTCATTTCGATGAAACAATCGAGCTAAACGACCAGCAAGTACACCTGCCCCGGCACGCGCTTGTGATGCTGTGGCTATCGCCTGTGCAACAGTACGAGAAGCAGTAGCCCCAGAAACACATTGTGCAACTTTATTTTGTTCTTGAACTAGGTATCGAAGACGATTGATACCATTGCGAAGACAAGCAATGATATCGAATAGCTAAGAGAGAAAAAGTAGGATTAGATTAGAAATGTGCATTCGCATTATTACTATCATAAAATATCTCAAAAAGTGAGATTCGAAAACACTTAAGAGAGCATTCAACGAAAATTAATTCATTTTGAAAATGAATTTCAGAGGAAACTAACCTGCCTATGTGAAGTACCAATGAAACTGAGAAATAATGGATAATCAGTTGGTATATAATGTCAGAAATATTATTTTTAACCTGATCTAAACTGAAATTACTCAAACTTTAATCGTGATTGTGATACACAGAATATTACCAACATGGAACCTATTATTACACAACAATGGTGCAAGCCACTACACATTACATCTGCACATCGAGTAAAAAGTAATGTGATCAGTGCGTCTGTATTATTGTAATACATTTTCAATTGTATCAGCAACTGTTTGTGGTTGTCGATATCGGACCGCATTTCGTGATTACGTTGACATCAACAGTCAATGACACAATCCTTAGTGACTCTTAATTACAAAACGTTTTATGGTATCCCTTTTCAGAATCATAGATCAAGTGAACAAGTGATACAAAAAAACATTGACATGTGCTGAATATGACATTTTAAATGCGCACAAAGTATTCCCTCATCTCACGCACTGCCATTTGATAGTCCGGTACAAATAATACTGAGAAGGTTTGTTTAATCGTGTCACCATTTGATTTCTGATGTTTAAAATGGAGGTGAGTTTCTACAACCAACATGTCTGTCTGTCTGTCTGGATTCAACACAGAACTTGGCACCGAAGTGCACCAGTTCGAGTTGCCACCTTCCAAACAGCACACAAAGGTAGACAAGAAGATGAGTGAAGAGAATCAATACAGTCTGACAAGTATAAGAGTGAAACAGAATGGGTAATGGTACAAAGGAATATGAAAGATTACAGAGACTGAATACATCTGCGCTGTCATTGACAACGATTTTGAGTCATGTCACCTATTGTCTCCAGCCATTGATTCCTAGAGTCCCGAGGGCCCCAACCCGGGAGTCTGCATCTCCCTACCTGACTCAGTTTAACTGTCAAGGATTTCATGGATTGATGGCATGTTTTTGTTTGGCCACCACTGGCTCTTTTCCAGCCTGCACCTATATCAGCTAGCTAGTAATGCCTGTCGGGGGAGGCGATGGTTAGGCATGCGCAGCACGTCACCTAGCCATCTCAATCTATGTAACTTTATAGCCTCGTCGATTGATTTTCCCTCTTTACCGAACACTCTACGCCTAACGTCAGCATTACTTACCTTGTGAAACCACCTAACGTGAGAAAGAGACCGCAGACATCTATGATCGAAAGCAGTCAACCTTTTCAGAAAAATCTTGTTTTTTCTTAACACGCTGGGATTAATTTAAATAATTTATAATGAACCTTTCCATGTCTTCAACTCGTATTGGCCATGTTTCAGAGCCATAGAGAAGGGCGGAGCGAACTGCTGAGCAGTACACACGTCCCCCTTGGTTGATACCCGGATGTCAAGCCTACGCCAGAGATAGTGTAAGTTGGCGAAAGCAGCTCGAGCTTTTTGGATCCGTGCTGAGAACAACTAACATGAACTGCAATTTACTTCATAATTTTCAACTAACCAGAAAATGAATACGCATCTATTTGGTAACCATTTAGTACGCAGAATGTTTTCTAACAATCTACACCAGATAGACATTTTACAATTATTCTTGGGACTACTAGTAATTTGAAGAATGTGACACTGTAATATGCATTCCATGATACTATCTTAACAGCAGCACAATTTAATCAAACAGAAATGGATTTAGTAAAACAAAAGTGGAGAAATTACAAAATGTAGTTTAAAACTTACAGGTTTACCCGCCCTTCGTAAAGCATCCGCTCTCCTACAGCATACAAGAGCACTATCAGTTAAACGTTTCTCCAAATCAGTTAGTATATCTAGGCAAGTGAGTACTTCAAATTTAGGCGGATTATCCAGACTGGCAGGATGTCTATCCTCAAAGCAACCCCAATGCCAATGAATTGTTGGTTTATATGGTAAGTGAGTATTGCATGCACGCCTCCAAACTTCACGTGCAGCAGGTATATCTCTTTCAACGTACTAAAAAAAATAGTCGAAATAAACATAATTACTACACCATACATGAGTATATACATTAGAACTCAAGTAATATCTGCCATATGACCAATTAATAGACAACACAAACATTTTTTACAACATTCACTGAAATGAGATAAGAACTGGGAATGCAATGTAGTTTCTTACACTTATAATAAACCTAAAGTACTGATTAGCTTATCCGAGAGAAATGAACACGCATACAAAATATACTTTTCCAAAAGGTTTAAACTAGAGAGTGGAAACAGTAGTTGGCATTTTCAAATACCCTACGGTGTTAATCATTTTTTTTCAATTACAACTATATTTGAATGGTTGTTTACACACACAGCGATAAGTTTTTTGGCTTAGGTAACATTCCGGACACAATTACTGACCATAATCACACCAACAAGATAATTGTTCCACAATATACAAACTTACCAATGACATTAATATATCAGACATAACCTTAAGCTAAAACATTGTTATTCTTAAGATTATATCATTGATGTGAATACCAAATCATAAGAATTACTACTTGAAGTAATTCAGAAATTGTAGTTACAAACTTGGGCACTGTGATTATGAGCAATAGTTTGTGCTCGAAACGTCAACACTTAATATTACTGTACAACACTATGTGATCTATCAAAATAAAATCTTATACATAATGGAGTTGTAGTTAGAAAGTTTTACTATTGTTCACGGAGACAACGTTGTGGTTTACAGTACCTAACAAAAACAACTAAGTGGGTTGCCATTAATGTATCAAGATCTCAAATGTTCACATTCAAGTAATGAGTTTGAAATACTAAATGCCAACTATCTTTCCAATCATAGAGAGAATCATATCCTCCAAGTCTAAATTCCATTGCATCAGATGTTTTGGTCTTAAAATATAGTAACGTCACAATGTGTATACATAAGGCTCAGCTCATAGACCAAGCGTAGGTTTAGTTACAAGACGAAAACCTCAAACTTCAACTGTTTATCTGAACAATGATAAAGTGATGACAAAATCAAGTCAAAGAACAATACAATATAAGCTACGCAATTTAAAACACGTTCGATAAACTTTGACATTTCAAAGGTAAGATGATGAGTATATAAATGATTTGAGAGAAAAAGAACAGCATAATACCTCTAGATATTTTGCATAACGTATCCAAAAGTGTTCGTAGAGAGCACAAGCAACAAGACATCTTTCATAAAGAATACGAACACGACGTTTAGCAAGTTTTACTTCAGGTGACTGAGATACAGCTTCCTCTAATTTATCACCAGACAACTGATGGGTTAATTTTATTTGTTCGCTTATGTGAGATATAACAGTTGCTGCTTCTGCCTCCTCAAAGCTTATATATTCTGCCCAGTTGTTCAGTTGTACTTCTTCAAGAGGTTTTACATGAAAATATGGACGACGAATCTGAATAAAGGTAAAAGAAACAACCACAGTGATTTAAATATAAAAAAATAAAAACAGTTACACATTCACAATAGCCCAATCAAATAAACACAGAAATACATGGAATAACCGAAAAAGAACACAAGTAAAAGAGAAAATTCTCTGATGTGATATGTAAGCATCAGGAACTTAGATTTACTTATTACTCAAAAAACCACTTGCAACTCTACGTAATTGGTAATCAGCCACAACTATTGTGTGAATGTTAATGGTACTGTCTGGTTACCCGAACCTCGGTAGGTAAAGAAAGGTTCGAATTCGTATCGGACTGGTTGGAAGTTCAAAGCTCCAACCCACAGCTCCACTAGCAACTGGAATGCACTTAATCACCAGTTATGAAAAGTTTAATTTAGTTAACATTTGGCAATTTTCTACCACGCTAGTTTGAAAAGATGCAACATCTAAAGCTTAAAAGCCTAAAGCTCATTTACACCACTAACTGACTGATTTCAACGTAGAACTTTACACAGATAGGCGGCAGTTCTAGTTGCCACACTCCCTCCTCGCAGTACACAAAACAAGTGAAAAGAGTAAAAAGAGATTCAGAAGAGAGATTATAAAGAGAAATGTAAGGCAAAAAGAATATCAATATGGAAGCACAATAGAATTTTATTGGATATCATGAAACAAAAGAAGTAAATGCATCTGCACCAGCCATTGACAATGATTTCGAGCCATATCACAGATTGTCTCCAGACACTGGTTTTGACCATTCCGAGGACCACGACCAGGAAGTCTACACATTCCTACGTGGCTTAAACTAACCGTTGTGGATTTTATTGACTGACTCTATGTTGTGGTTTGACCAACCTGATTCTAAGTCAACTAACATCGTCCGTCGAGGAATGCGGTCGATCGCCAGTGGTGCATAGGTAACTCATGTCCTAATCATCTCAATCGATGTAACTCCACAACCTCGTCGACTGATTTCTCCTCCTTATCTAACACTCGACCGACGCATAAACTCAATACTGCTAACCCTATTATACCACTTCACAAGATAGAATGCAGACACCTATGGTCAAAGACAAGTAGTCTTTTCTTGTCTCACTTTCAATAGCCATGTCTCACAGCCATAAAGGAGAATGCAGCGGACTAATGAGATTTCGTCAGTGATTAACCTATTGGAGCAGATGCAGCTTCCCAAATAAGTGAAGTGGTCAACACGCTCTACCACTTCATCACCTATCACTAGCGTAGGAGTCAATGCACTCCAGCCACGTAGAATCATCTTATATTTGACAAGGACAAATACTATGCCAAACATTCGAAGATTACTGCTCGAGATGTTTGGAAGACCCTGAATTTTGTCAGCATCTTCATCCAGAAGGACTATATCATGTGTATATGTTAAGTCAAGGAAATTATTTCCTGGGGGTAATAAGTCAATTCCAGAGTCGCTGAAGTGAGTTAGAGTTAAGTCCATCAGTACATCTATGATGAAATTAAATAGAAACGGGGACAGTGAGCAATTCATCCATGATGGACACCAGTGGTTGTCACCACTCCAGATGATGACTCTCCGTAAGCTGGCTGCATGAGTTCGAGTAGAGTGCCTTGATCAGTACTATATATTTTCTCGGCATTCCCTTCACAGCCAAACATCACAATAGCACCTCTCGATCGATGGAATCAAATACCGCCTTTAACTCAAGAAATATGACGATTGTTGGACTCCGCCAAGGATGCCTATGTTCCACAATCTGTCGAGGGTAAAGATATGATCGGTACACCCTCTTCCAGGTCGGAAGCCTGTCTGGTTCTCTCGTGTTTGTGCCTCCCAAGCACCACTTAGTCTACGCATTATTATTAAGTCTAGGACTTAAGATCTTTATTTATTTATTTTATTTATTTATTTTTGATTACAGCTTGATTCCACACCGTATTTTTGGTACAAGTATGGAATTTTCAGCATGGATATCGGTAGCCCAAATTTCGCAGGTCCACCATAGATATCAGGTGTGCGTCGGCAGGGGATCGAACCTCATACCATGTGCATGGTCGGCGAGAGTTCTAACTACTGTGCCACCGACGCACTATATTAGTCAAACTAATCCCCCTGTGATTACCACACCAAGACTTGTCTCCCTTCTTGTATGTCGGGATAATCAATGACTTACACCAACCAGACAGGACTTCCTCTGATTCCAAGACGCTGTGTAGTACCTCAGTTAATGCAGGAAGTAAACTGTTTCCACCATACCTAAATACCTCTGCAGTCATTCCATCAGGTGCTGCTGCTTTGCCTTGCTTCAGACTAGTGAGAGCTTCAGTAACCTCAGTTAGGGACGAAGGACCTGTGTTTATATCCCATTCAGGGAGATGTTGGATGTTCTGTAAGTTGGGCGTGGCTGTAGACCAACTGAACTGCTCCTCAAAGTGTTCTTTCCAACGTTCTAGTCTTCTATCCTGGGAGCAAATTATGGTGCCATTTTTCTCAGAGATTGTTTCATTTATCGTTTGCCTTTCACCACATGTTTCCCTAATAAGCCTGAATAGTTGTCTGGTATTACCAATTGCCAATGCCTTCTCCATCTTTTCCACTTTTGTCGCCCACCACTGTGCGCGGTCGTTACCAAAACTTCTTTTTAGTTTGCACTTGAGCAGCTTTCGCTCCTCACCATATTCGGAACTCGCCGAAATTTATCTTCCTGAGTCAATCAGTTCGGATAAGGTGGTAAATTTGCAATGGCTCTTACTAACTTTTGGTTTCAGGTTACTAACAGCTTTTACAACTGTGACTAGAACTGTATATTGTGCCAGGCTTCCTCAGGAATCTTGATGTTGACCTCAGATACGCGTTTACATATTTCTTCCTAGAATAGGCACTCAGTTTCTTGATCCAGTCGAGGGAGTAAGGACTTCGCTGCCAACAGTTTTTTATGTCCGTTCAATCTTAAGCATAAATGTATGCAAACTAGGGAGTGATTGGAGTCTGCGCAGGTGTTCCAGAAAGAGCAAGTCTTCTACTGACCCTCGCTAACGACACCCTATCGTTATGTTGTCTATCTGAGACCAACGCTGATTTAGTGATGGAGGTCATCAGGTTACACAATGTCTCTCTTTGTGCCTAAAGTTAGTGCTGACTAGCAACAGTTGATTATCTGAACAAAACTGTAGAAGACGATCAGTTGTCGGTTCGTCGGCAGGGAACTCCATACGTACCACCTACATGCTTCTCAGTTTGGTACAACTTCCCTACTTGGGCACTGAAGTCGCCTGCTGAAACAGCTATATCTGAATGTTTTGCTTCTCGCAGCAAATTAGATAGTTTCAGGTAGAAGTCGTCCTTTAGTTCATCTGAACTGCAGTCAGTTGGGGTGTAAGCGGAGACTATGAAAATACAACGACGGGTAACACTGTCCTTTCACCTTCTAACGGACCCATTCAGATGGACCGCACACATCCGACTATCTACTTGGAACCAGTCAAGAAGTGATTTTTCTGCCCTATTACTCAATGCTATCCCTACACCTGAGAGTCCTCGCGAACTAGCTGAGGGGTCTCCTGACACCCTTAAAGTGGATTTCACAGATACACCTTGTTGACCGGGTGAGGTTAGGTAAATGACCATACTCGGGTCTTGTAGGTGTGTCTCCGAGACACAATATACATCCATGGCTCGGGATGCCACAGTTCTTGCTAATGATGCCTGTTGTTCGATTTGACAGAGATTCCTGATGTTGAACGTTCCTATATGAAGTTGGCGACGTGGCTTTAAAAGGCTATCTGAGGTGTTTCTATGGCTCTCATCGTTGTTTGTGGTCACAGAGTGAAGATGACTCACTAGCCTGCAGAATAGTGCTAACTGTAGTAGAGAAGCAAGATGAGGAAGGTCATGTGAGTAAAGGAGAATGATACTCAGGAAGGCTTCGTGTGCTTTTGGAAGTATGTGGGCGGTTGTTACTTCCCGGCTGGCCACACCGTGGAAGTTGATTGATTCGTCGGGTACCTGAAGCAGAAAGAGGGTTAGTGTCGTGTGACCGCAGAGCCCAGGGGACAACTGCGTGAGGTTGGTTGCACACGACCTATGGGAAACACCTTACAGCTGTAACATCCTTGGTCCTCAGCAGTACGACTTTACCCACAGACATCCAGCATAGTGTAAAAAATTCTTACACTATACCGGTAACTGCTTTTAGTCTGACCGCTATCCTAACAACCTTCCTGGCATGGTAGGACCAGTAGCAACATTGATTCCAGCCAGTGTAGCTTGTTGGGTCATTGCGCTATGCAAGCCCGACCACCACGTCATGGTAGCAGCTACCGGTCAGGCATTTACACCACTAGTCATTTACATATACAGCATTTCATATCTGATAAATTTTACAGTGTATGCATTCTGTAAACTTATAGGGTTTTTAAAATATATTTTATAGAGAAATACCACAGTGCAAACTATCAAAATCAATATAAAATATTACATAGTGAAGCTATAAGTTGAATATAAACTTTAGAATGACAATACATTAAGTAACTGTTATGAATTTAGTGTATACCTTTTCTTCAAAATACCATCGCCGCATAATTTGCATATAAGTTGCCCGATAAATTTGTTCCCGGGAATCAATTATCATTTGTCGTATCGATGATCGAACAGTATCAGTTATCTAGAAAAAGCGATGATAATTAGATTTATACTTAAAGTCAACAGAAGTTTTTTTCTGAATTCCACATAAGAGTTGAAATATCAGCAAGCTCACATACTCAAATCTTAGCTAAGCAGTATAATAAGAAGATAAAAGCCCATGTTAGCGAACAAATTAACTTTAACTGCGACTTATAAGCAAAACCAGTGCTATACAATTATATCAATAAGAACAAACAGCCCTTATTCTGCAGTCTGCATACTTCCCAGTATGTTTCTGCATCATTTAGATTATTCATGACAAGGAATAATCGAGGTCAGCGCTTATCAGTCTACTAGATAAGGGAACTATATTAGACAGGTAATAACATTTGAGAACCCCCCTCCACGATAAATACTATATATATATATATATATATATATATATATATATATATATATATATATATATATGTATATATCACGCATGTATTTATTCAAATTATACCTCACAAAAAGTATCACGTCGTATACGACTGTAGGTTATGAATACGGTTGACTGATTCCTCTTTGTTTTAATTCGTCAGAGACCCAAGTAGGACATAGACTTTCACAAGCTTTGTAGTTTCTGTAGAAGTGGTGTTGTTTTTACACGAAGAGACTGTTAGGCTTACACTTAGTCTCTTCCTCTTTCTGTAGTTGCTTTCGCACAGCAAACTAGGCGATATTTAGGTGTGTCGTCCATGAATCGGAAGTGGATCTTCCGCGTGGCTGGCGAGTTTTCTACAGTTGAGTTACCAGTGCACCTATTTCCTATTAATACTGTAAATATAAGAACGAAATTATCTTCTTAGTAAGTTATTAATTATTGCACTCATACCTCAATCGCCGGTTTTGTAGAACCCAAAATAGGTGGTTCTAGCTCATCATGGGCTTCTTCTGATTGCTTTCCAAGCGATATAGGCTTACCGGAAACCAGTGAAGCCTGAGCAAGCATACTTGCAAATTCATTTTTGGACAAAATGTCTTCAGGGCGATTCTCTTCCACCAACTTGTTGAAGCTGATAACAATAAGAACAATTATTATTAACAGAATACACAGGCAAATATGTTGACACTATAAGACGTAGGCATTGTTTCCAAAAAAACAATAGCATAACTGCCCCGCAAACTGAAGACCTACAAAGATGCCGTTAAAAACAAATAATTTTACAGCTCCTAACTCGTACTCAACACACAACTCAGCAGTAAATCGAAACCCACAATAAGTGAAATATACCTTTCGAAATGATGTCATGTCATATTTACCGTAGGTTGGTAAACATCAAACGAACCTTTGGTTTCTACAACAAAATACTGTAAGTGACTACTCCTGAGAAGATTAAGTTGTTACCATGCAAATACACCTCTCCTTCATAATATTTAAGCAACTGAAGCACGCCAATTGTCAGAAAATGAATTTCGTTTTAAGTGTGTTCAATGAGCACCAAACATTTTCAGGCGTCGAAAATAGTCAACAGTCTAAGAGCACCAAATCATCTACACATCTATTATGTAATAAGGAATAATTCTGTATGAAGCCAGTCTTTATGTGCTGAATAACTAGATACAGTTGCTGCTGTAGATAACACATGAAGAGGCACTATCACATAAAAAATAAAGCATTTAACTACTGCAAACCTTTGGATCTTAGGAATTATATGCGTTTTTAAAATTTACAATCCAAAAAGTGAAATGACTGGACATGTTACTCACTTCAAGTATTTGCTAAGCTGTATGAGCCCTGACTAACCTGTTGCTGAAGAAACCCTAACATTAATACAAAGGGCTCGTTTGACATTTGGCAACCTGCATCACCTTCAGCACAGGAGCGACATCTGGACAGTCGTCAAATGACATATATGCTGTGTAACACGCATACTAGTGCTTCCATCTGATTATCGAAGAGAGCAAGAAAATACTATTTCTAAGGGTACATATACCAATATATCCCGCCATTCAATGTTTGTCGAACGAAATTAAAAAGACTTGTTCTAAATTAAAAACACTGCAAAAATACTAAGGGTCTTGACTTTCGATCACGCTTACTCAACCTCTTCGTTAGATACTTCGGAGTAGAGCAGCATCCAGCAGTACAGAAACTTGGTACTTGATACATTTTCCAGGTACTATATGACAACGGCGAATTTCGAAGAGAATTAGTACCTAATATTCAAACCGCCTTTAACAAGAGTAAGTTATTTTATACTTACACCCTTTAGTTACATATCAACTAAAATACTTAATTCCCAGTAAAAATATTTCATAGATTTTTTCTTTTCACAGAAGAAATTTCTGGGGAAAATGCAATGCTACTCAGCAAAAACAATCATACCAGAGCACTTGACAGTGAATTGCATGTACTGAATGAAGGTTGATGACATCACTCAGCTGCCAAACCTCGGTAGATGGAGAAAGTTTCAAGCTTGTGACCCAACGGTCAGAAGTCATGTGCCCAATCTAATAAGCCAGTGTCAGGAAGAATAATGTAACTTGGCATGACAGCATCAAAAAATAATTCTCTGAAAGTAGAAATTTATATAGATGGGAAATGAGTTTTTCAAAATTAACTTTAAGCTAGTCACACTAACCTGTCCCAGTTTTGAAAGTAAAGTTGAGTAGGAATTGACAATAAACGAGCATATATGTTGGCTGCATTAACCAACCGGTTATGCCCACTTTCCCAACTAATATAATGCTCCCACAATGCATCCGAACGAAATTCAAGTCCAGCAGCATCCAAAGCAGATTCATATAGACTGAAATAAATTATAACCACAGACATTAAAATACAGCTTACGGCACTATTACAAATTACGAATCACTGATCATCAGAGCCACCAAAGAGAATGTTTAGAAAACAAAAAAGTGAATTACTTACCTACGCATTTTATTTTCATAGTCATCATGCGTGTGGTAATATTCAGTGGCAGCATCCAAATAAGCTGTCCAAAGGTCTACACTTAGGGGTGTAGTTTTTACCCCAAGTTCGTAAACCTAGGTAAGAAGCAATCAACAGTCAGATTCTTTAATGTCTAAAATGCAAATTACATAACACTAACACTAGTACCACATATCTGCTCCGCACACCTAGTGTCTTATGAAATGGGTTTGAACATACTAGTTTAATGAAATTTACCATGAAAATTTTTTAACGATCTCGAAGTAGAATGTAAACTTTAGAAGGAACATAGAATACTCCACTCAGCTGTAGCTGTAGCGAAACGTTGCGAAGAATCTTGTTTAAATTTTCTAAGAACGCTGGGGTTGTTTCAAGTAGTTTTATAATGGGTACAATACATGGTTAAGAAAGGTCAAAAACAAAATGAACTGTATTTAGCTGTACAGCTTCACTTTATTCAGTGCGTCGGTGGCAAGGCGGTTAGGACTCTCACCGAATATGCACATGGTCCGGGGTTTGGTCCCCAGCCGAGGCACTCCTTTACCTCGCCAGATATAAGACTGGTAGAGAGGAAGCGTAGGGCATGAGGTTAGGAACCCCATCCTGTAACAATAAAAACACTGCTACATGAACTAGCTTGAAGCCCTATGTTCCAGTGGGAACGTGAAGGTATATAATAAGTAAAATAATCACTTTATTCAAAATCCTCATTAGGTCCTCCAGTCCTCCTCCAAATACTTATCTCCGACACTAAACGTATGCTAAAACGCGTTTCAAGCGATGTATGAAAAAATGCTGATGAGTACTTAAAGCACTTGAATAACACATGTTAAGATTCACAACTATTATTGGTCGACTTGGACCAGTGAGTGTTATTAAAAGACCATATTCATGACAATGGACTCACCTGCAAACATTTCTCTTTATTTCCTTTATGGCGTTCCATATCCGCGAATTTCTTCCAATATCCATAGCAATATGGGAAACGTTTGAAAAATGCACCGAATGCTTGCCTGGCATATTCAATATTTTGCTGAAAATCCATATAAGTCAGAAAGATATATATTACCTGTTTCTCAACAAGATCAAGAAGGCTTATCCACACAGAAAACTCTGTAGGATTGTCTTGAGCTTTCCTCCACAACTTGTGGTAAGACATCACTCAACGAAATTGAGGGTGGCGCTGAGACGAATCCAATATCCAATATCCTGATTACGAGCTAGTATAAACCAGTGATTTCTTTGAGCTCGCTTCTTGATTGTGAGGTAGAGGTTCCAGATCTTCGGTGAGCTTCTGCGTAGTAAGTCCCGACACTCGACTGCTTTAGCTCTGGTAGACTCCAGGAGGAGTGGTGCGGGGATTGGTCGAGATGTGGTTTGTAGTATGCAGTATGTTAGGACTGTATTGCTGCCGTGAATGGAGTTTGACCTAACTCCCGTTGGTCATTCGGTGTAGTCATAAAAGCAGAATAGTAATAATAATAATAATAATAATAATAATAGGTTGTAGTGTAGATAATATAGGTTGAGATAAGTGGAATAATAAAGGTGACCTAAGGAAAAGATAGAGTGAGAGAAGGCAGAATAGGTCGTGGGGATTTAGTTTGTACGCTTATTCATTGACAGTGTGGTTTCAAATTTTATGAGGATAAGCCATTGAGACACAAACCTTGCATTTCTGCATGATTGTCTAGCTTCCGCTTAAAAATCTCCAGAGATGGCGCTGTAGTCACGGCCGCCGGTAAAGCGTTCCAGAGACGGCAAACACGAAGCGAAAAGAAATGTGATCGCACTCGAGTCTTTGGTCTCTGGTGTGCTATCCTTAGCGGGTTACCTCGTGGAAGCCTATAATCGCTTAATGGCAGGATGCTTTTATTTGGGTGGGCCTGGTCATTTAGGATCTTGTAGACGGTGATGAGGTCTCCCCTGTGCCTACGGTAACTAAGTGTGAAAAGACCTAATTTCTTTAGTCTTTCCTCATATGATTTGTTGCGGAGGCCGATCACCCATTTTGTCGCTCGTCTCTGGACACTTTCTAGAATGTTAGCATCCCTTTTGAGTAGCGGAGGTGCAATGATATTATGCACCTCAAGGTGTGGCCTCACATATGCCTTGTATAGCCTTAAGAACAGTTCGGGAGTGAGAGCTCCCAGCTGCCTGTGCATAAAGTGTAATGTTGCGTAGGCTTTGGCGACGTCCCTCGAGTAATTTCCACTGGTGTCTAGCTTTTCTGTTAGAATAAGACCTAGATCACGCTCTGATGGAACACAACTCAAGTTCTGGCCACCAAGGGTGTAATTTACACTCTGTGACCTGCCGGAATGAAGCTGCACTACTTTGCACTTCTTTAGATTGAAAGGCATTCCGTTAGCCAAAGCCCAATTTCCCAGAGTTTGCAGGTCAGCCTGCAATCTATCTGAGTCTTCCGATGAGTTTATTGCTCTCCAAATCTTTACGTCGTCAGCGTAAAGAAGCGCAGAGCAGTTTAGTTGGGGGGGCAGGTCATTGATAAAAATCAAAAACATCAACGGCCCTAGGATAGAACCCTGAGGAACCCCTGATGCCGAGGTGTGCCAGGATGATCGGATGCGGTTGACTTTGGTGCAGAATTCTCTCTCGCCTAAGTAATCTTTCAGCCATGCGAGAAGTGCTCCAGAAACTCCCGCCTTGCCTATTTTGTGAAGGAGCAGACCATGGTGAACTGTGTCGAATGCTTTCGCAAAGTCGAGAAAGATCACGTGGGCTGGTACCTTTTTGTCCCAGGATAGTGTCCAATCGTTCCAGGCTAGTAGAAGATTCGTCACGCAGGATCTTCCCCTCCTGAAACCGTGCTGTGCTTCGTGAAGAAGGTTAGTCCCATCGAAGTATTTTCTCATGTGGTCGTCAATGAGACTTTCCAATATCTTCGATACCACTGGAAGTAGAGCAACTGGTCTGTAACTGGTCACATTCTGCCGGTCACCACCCTTGAAGATAGGGGATAGGATTGCACGTTTCCATTCACATGGAAGTTTCCCTACATCAAGGGAGTGTTGGAACAGATCACTTAGGGGTTGACAGAGACTTTCTGAACACTGCTTCAGGACAGATGGTCTGATGCCATCACAACCTGGAGACTTTCCCGAAGCCAACCTTCCCAATTTTGCAAGTACCATAGCCGGGGTAATTTGAAATGTCCCCAGCAGGTTTTCGTGTGTTGGTTTTGCGATGTAATCTGGATGTTCTGTAGGGGTAATATCCTCGTTACTATTTAGTTGCCTGTGAAAGGCTAGGCTGAATGTCTCTGCCATTTCAAGACTAGTAAGAGATTTCCCATCAGAACCCACTAGATTGCATGCTCCCTGGTTGGTCGGTTTTCTTTCGGCCATAAACCTGTATAGGCTTTTGGGGTTCACGAGAAGCTTATTGGCGAGGTCTCCCTGAAATGTCCTTCTATCGCTCCGGACTCGTATGTTACATCGATTCCTGAGTTCAAGGTACACTTCATATTCGGGTTGACTCTTCGATCGTCGCCACGCGAACCAGGCTTTTCGCTTTGCCTGCAGAAGGCGTTGTGTCCCCTTTTCAGCCATGATCGTTGCTTCCTAGCTTTTGGTGAGACTAAAGGAACAGTGTCTGAGACCGCCTGGTGAATGATCTCCTTTACCACTCTCCAGTGTTCTTCTACTGTTAGCTCTGTCCATTTTTTAGGCCAGTTTGCTTCAGACAGAAGTCTTCGCATTTTGGTGTAGTTGGCTTTGTTATAACACAGATAGGGCTGTGTATTGTCCCACTGTAAGCGCTCGCGGAGGACTATGTCGAATACTATGACCGCGTGGTCACTACTACCTATGGGAGTCGTGATCTGAACGTTTTCCACTAGTAGCTGGTCACTAGTGAGCACGTAATCCAGTCTAGAAGACTTCCCATCAGGGCCCCATCTAGTATCCATCTTGACATTTTCAGTGAATCCAGCCTTCCTGATGGTATGCAGCAGATTTCGATCAAATCTATCATGGGCTTTTCCCGACACCAAGTTAAGAGATGGGGCATTGAAGTCACCAGCTATGACAATTTGATCATAACCCATGTCTTGAGTCGCTGAGATTGTATTTAGCAGTACCTGGTTGTGGTCTGCTCCACATGAAGGTGATCGATAAATGCTGCCCACTAGATATTTGCAGTACCCAACGGTGAAGTGGCACCATATGGAGTCAGGGAGCTCTGTGAGGGGAGGGTCCATCGCGTGAACACATCTGAGCTGTTTGTCGACGTATATGGCGACTCCACCTCCTTCTTTCAGGTCCCTATCTCGCCTGACTAGGACCATATCATTTATACTGACTTCGCTGTCTGCCACCGTAGGGGTTAGCCAGGTTTCCGTCAGTATTATGATTTTGGAGTTTAGTTGTGATTGTAGGTGTCTAAGTTCAGCTATTTTGCCTCTTAGCCCTCTCACATTACTATACAGGCAACTGGTAGTCAGTCTCACCACTTCCCCGTATTGGGGGGTAGTTGACTTGATATTGGCTATCGGTTGAGGAGTTATCCTACGAACTAGTTGGCCGATTCCCCAGGAACCGGCCTGTTGGCGTTTTTTTCTTCTAGTTCAGTTGGAGCACTCGGATGACACTGGCTATCATCGTCCGTGCTGCACCGCTGTAGTGTGACTAGGGGTTGAGGATTTTCTTTTACTACGCTTTGTTCTCTCCTTTGAGTGCGAGGCCGGCTCTCGCAGCAGCGAATGTGTTTGCTGACCTTGTCCTTGGTCTCGTACCATCTATGGAGAGCGGTATTCAACTGGTCTTGGGAGCTGAACTTGACAGCTAACAGACGTGGCGAGTTAATTGACATAAGATGAGTGGGTCGAGGCAGTCTATAAATAGAGACAGCCCCTGAACTTCCCAGGGCCATCTGGGATGCTAACCATCTCCATTGTTGTACATCATGACAATGCTTTTCGCAGGCGTTCCCAGTTACCAGTTCGGGAATGCCATGCACAACCATGGAGGCAGAAGGAATGAGCTCTGGCGACTCCCTCGCCATTTGTCTTTCCTTCCACGGCCTGTCTGGCTTAACACGTATGTTACAGGCCCTCCCTATAGAAAGGACTTGAGAAGCCAGTAACACTTTTTCAACATCCTCGGTAGAGCCCAATGTTACCCTCAGTGGGGATGGTTTGCCTTCAGGTGCAGCAGTGCCCCTATACAATCTGCATAGATTTACTGGTTGGATGTCCAAACCCAGTGTGCTACTCAAGATGGACCACTGTTCCTGATCAAATAGGGCCCTATCTTTCAGCAGACTACTGCTACAGTCTGGTACATTAAAGAGGATTACACAATTTGATCTGCTAACCGTGGGCTTGGGCTCGGTCCTCGCACGTTTGTGATCACCTTTAAGACCGTTTTGGTTTGACTGGTGCGACTGGGTATTTTTATGTGTCTCAGTGCTATAGCCAGCATTACTGATAGACGGTTGGGGTCTTTTTCCAACGACGGAAACCCGTGGTTCTCCAGCCTCTGTGTCTGGAGCGGTTATGGCAAGAGTTACAAGTTTAACCGGTGAGGATTTTGGTATCCCCGGTTTACGCGCGTTTGTACTAACTTCCGGATTGGTGGGGGTCGAGCTTTTCACCTTTTTCCCCGCTACTTCTGTGCCATCTTTAGTTTTCAAAGGACTACGCGAGGCTACATCAGGACGGCAACTCGGGCATATGTACCAGAACCATTGGCATGGGTTTTTACGCATAAAGTCATAATATGCTTTTGGTACCCCACTGTCGCATCTGCAATGCACCCATCGGTTGCAAAAGTTACATTCGAAAGCAGAGTCTGCTTGTTCGACAACAGAAGCACAGACCTTGCAGTCGTCTGTCTTCTTGGGGAGCGTTCTTGTCGTCTTGCGACGTCGTGAACGTTTCTTTTTGGCCTTCCTATTTGTTTCATGGTCTACCATGGGGATGGGTGTTATGAAGTTCTCACTTAGTGCAATTTTCCCACTCGGATCTGTTAACCTAGTCGTGTTAACAGGGGTGGAGCCACATCCACTTGGCTGACTTTGCACAGCTTCACTGTAGGACTGTGGCGACATGGGTAATCTGTACGAGCTGGGAATATTAGCCCTGGTCTTCAGGACCGGTATGCGTGAGTCCATCACCTTCTCCTGTTTGCCTAGTTTGGCTGAAGCCCTGGTAACTACAGAGTATGAT